GACCGGATTGGTTATAATGTAAGTACAATAGCAGAGAGTTGTAAAGATACTTGAAAAACAGATATTGTTTTAATTCTCTATATAACCCCTTTGTAAACCCTATTCACCGAAGTCTATTTACGAACATGCGTAAAGATATTACACATAAAAAATACACAGAAACATTGGAAATCAGTTTTTGGCAGACAATCACTTTTTGGCACAACACCCCTCCTGAAAATCTCATGGAGCCACCATTCTCCCGATTTTTCACCTGGACAACAAAATTGAAAAAGCATATCGCAGAATTCATTGTGTGGCCCAGCCAATTCCAGTTTCCAACAATGACGGCAGCTACTTAGTTTTAATATTACTCTTATTTCTCTTTCTGGGTCGCAAAAAAACTATTAACATATTTTCAAGTGAGAATGTAGCTGTGTAAACCGACACATCGTCTTTAAACCCCCGCGGTCTTTCGCTACTTGGGTTAAACAGCGCCCGGTTATATTTTAGATAGCAAGGAGCAGACAGCAGAGTTTCATTCCACCGAGGGAGCCTGTGACGTACTACCCGGCTTTCTTTAGACCGCGAAGGCTGGGTCCTCAGGTGGAAGCAGCCTCTGAATTTGGACACCATCGCTGTTTCTGGGCCGGCCAATAATAACGGTGACATTTAACATATTTTATCCGATAAATAAACCCTGTAAAAGGTACAGAAATCCCCCCCCCCCCAGCAGCCCTTTTGAATGTCTCCCTAGTATGGCCACAACACCTCACTCTTGGAGCACTTTTTTGCCATATGTATCGCAAACCACGGCTCAGCTGTTTGTGGAGGTAAAATAAGTCCGCACATGACTCCAATTACGCTCAGCCATTGTTGTGAGTGCGCACGTCAAGGGGCTGCAAGACATTTATACAGCCATATTTCGCACATGACTATGAAATGTGGAAGAGGAAGTAGTTCCTTTGAATGTATCCGAATGTTATAGTTTCTTTCCACTGTGTTCCTGTTAATGATGAACTACAAATTTACTCTAAATTACTAAAATATCTTTATTTTAATGTGAGAATTGATTCATAAATGATTGGTATCGGAGGAATCGATATTTCAGGATCGATCCGCACATCACTAATCGGCACACAGTTTATGGTGTCCTGTTGGAGAAAACACTGCCCACATCTTCTGTTTGTGGTTGTATCTCTGGTATGTACTTACAGTATAAGTTACAACTTTGTTTTTGTACAATATGTTGTCTGCTAATGCAGTATTTGGCTGTAAAGCTAGTCCTTTTGTTAAGCTAGTTACCTGCGATTTTGGAGGTCGTCTGGGATAGCATCAGTAGTAGTTTGAAAAGTTTACATAATTATATGCTATGTAGTAGCAGGGTGATATATGAATGCATATTATGCTGCACATATATATATCATGACTGTATTTTTTGTCTTGTTTTTAGTTTTACCCTTTTGAATGTCAGTAAACCTGTTGACAATGCTCATCAGTCTTCAGAGTGACCTTTATCTCAGCTTATGATACAAACTAACATCATATTCAACTAGGCTACCACAAACCCAAATCAAATTCCGCCTTTCTAAAGTGTAAGACAGGTGCAACTTTATAAGCAGAGAAAAGCCCATTAAGCACAGATCGATATCTGAATATATC